TAGCCTCGCGAATCATCCTTATTAGGAATCGGTGTTCTTTTGCGAGGATTTGTGGTCTATAAGACCACAACTATCGGAAATACATCCTAAAGGATGGCGCCGTCGACATCTGTCGAGCTTGTCGCCATCCCGGTGAGTCACTTAGGCATGTCATCTCCGGTTGTTCGGCGCTTTCTAACTCTGAGTATTTGCACAGACACAACCTAGTAGCCAGGATTCTACACCAGGAGCTCGCTCTGAAATACGGTCTCGTGGATCGGAAACTGCCATATTATAATTACTTGCCGGAAGCCGTGCTCGAAAATGACCGCACCAGGCTCTACTGGGACCGGGCCATCATCACGGACAGGACTATTCTTGCGAATAAGCCTGATATTGTGCTGATGGACCGGGCACAGTCAAGGATATTTTTGGTCGACATTACCATTCCTTATGACGAGAACCTCGTGAAAGCCGAAACAGATAAGTTGACAAAATATCTGGACCTGGCTCACGAGGTGACCGACATGTGGGGTGGTCTGCCGGCCGAAATTATTCCTGTGGTCGTCTCTGCGAACGGGTTAATCCCAGTCAGCCTCTCGGGTCATCTGAGGCGACTGCGACTCCGTGACGGATCGCTCCAAGCTCAAATGCAGAAGGCGGTGCTCCTCGATACCGCCCGCATCGTCCGCCGGTTTCTTTCCCTTTCTCCCTAACCCTCGGCCGTTTGGTCTCCCCTGCCGAGGGCTTCCATCTGGTTGGGTTTTTATATATTTATGTAAGTTTAACATTTTCATTTACAATTATATATTTAAACAGCCCAACCAGATGAGAAAACTATACAAATACCCCATAATAATAGTTTATTTTCACCACTTAGATAACTATCACATTTATAAATAACTATTCTATGGTCTATACTTAGTTTACAAAGAATGATGGAACATCTGTGTCTGAACTAGATAAATATATATCTGTATTTCAGATCAAAGTACTCTTCCTTATTACATATTAACAAACTAACATTAGTATAATTTAAATAGATGGTATACAAAAAATAAAATGTGAAAATTAATCTTAACAAAATGTATTTTATATAAAAAGAAAATTGTTAAAATGTGTATTAAAATGTATCTCTTTGTGCATAATATGTTTATTGCATGAGTGTGTGTAAGAGGGTGTGTAAATAACATTAGCATGTAGTAAGTAATGCTTCAGTTTCTTCATAGTTTAACTGATGAAGAAATTCAAATAATTTAATTTTGCATTTATTTTTATTTAATAGTATAATTCAGTCTTTTTATTGATTTTGTTATAAAGAAATGGTCCAAGGTGATAAAAATATTTATTAACAAAAGAATGACTGGAAATAGGTCTATTTTTGCAAACTTTATCTTTTCTTGTTTAGATAACAAGAAGTATTTATCATAAGATAACCACGAATGTTGTTTCAATACTGTATTCAGAATAAATAGCTGACGAACAGTGAGTACACCAAAAGATTGGTATAACTGAAATGTAGGTGAAAGTAAAGGTTTAAATGTGCATACTTTAAGAATTGCTCTTTGTGCTATTTCAAGGGGCTTTAAAATCGATTTGGATGTACCTCCCCACACAGTAATACAATAATTCAGAATTGATTGAGCAAGAGCTAAGTATACTTGTTTCAGCAATTTGGGATCCGCCACATGTCGAAGATTTTTGAAAACAATGCTAAGTTTTCTTAGTTTCGCACAAACCATAAGTATATGTTCTCGAAAGGTTAAATTTTGGTCTAATATTACCCCCAAATACTTTATGGAAGTGGTTTTAATAATGGCAGGACAGGAACAAAAGTTATTATTACAACAATTATGAGCAATTAGTGAAAGAGACGGTGACGGCTGAGTAGAGTTTCGCATACTAAAAGAGATAAAACGTGTCTTATCGACATTAAGAGGAAGAGAGTATTGTTGCAGCTAATGAGTAACTACATTTAAACCAAATTGTGCTCTTTTGTAAACATTAACCAACGAATCGTCAGAGAATAGTAAGACAGTGTCATCTGCATAGCAAATTATTTTACAATTTGGGATGTTAAGCTGACAGAGGTCATTTATATAGATAATAAACAGGCTTGGGCCTAATATACTGTCTTGTGGCACATCATGTATAATGGGTAGATCTCCACTAACATGATCGTTAATTTTAACACATTGATATCTATTAGAAAGATATTCTTCGAATAAATTTAATGGACTGCATCACTAGTTGATTTGTCTGGTATAAAACCGAACTGACTTTTAGAAATAAAGTCATTTCCTTCTATGTATTTGACTAATCTTTTATTGATTATGCGTTCCAAAAGCTTAGAGATCGATGGAAGTATTGATATGGGCCTGTAGTTGTTAACACAGTCTCGTTTACCCGCTTTGTAAATTGGATATACCATAGATTTTTTTAGAAATGCAGGAAATATACCTTTGAATAAACAGTTGTTAAACGTATGTGTCAAAGGAGGGACGAGGATGTGTTTGAAGTCTTTAAGGACCTTATTCGGTACACAGTCCCAGCCCACAGAACTAACATCTTTTAACGCTATAATGAGTTGGTCTACCTCAACTTCATCAGTACTTAACAATACTAAGGATTTTAAGGAATTTATAGTATATCCTTTGTTATACTCACTGTGTGAGAGGTTTTTACACTTAAGTGTTTTCTGTGCTAAAGCTTTCCCGATTGTTAAAAAAAAATCGTTAATATTATCGACGGATCTTTGCTCGTGTGTAGGATCTATCAAGTCAGTTGCTTTATTTTTAGGTTTTAATGTACATGTTATTGTTTTTATTGCATCCCATAGCTCTTTGTTGTTTTTTTTAGCATTTATTAATAAATTTTTTTCGTAAGCCCTCTTAACTTTTTTTAATAAATTATTGCAGTAATTTCTATATCTCGTGTAGCTTAGCTTAATTATTTCATTGTTTGGTGACTGTCTTGATTTTTTATGCAAACTATCTCTATGTCTCATACAACGAATAAGTCCTAGTGTTATCCAGGGTTTGATGATTCTGTTACGTTTTGAACATTTAGTCGTTAAAGTATTTGACTCTATAGCCCTTTGAATTGATGTTATAAAAAATTCCATGGACTTATTTGGATCACATGAAGCGTATACGGTATTCCAATGAATCTGCTTTAATTCAGATTCCAGAGCCTCACTATTTATTTTGTTAAAAGTTACAAGGGCCGAATGATTTTGTTGTTTCACTTTTAGGCATAATAGTACGGCCTGGTGATCCGTAACTGAAGACTGTAAAACTAAAGTTAGGGATTGTAATTTTGTATTCAAAATAACGTGATCTAAGCAGCTATTCTGTCTAGTTGGGATATTATGTGCAGGTAATAAGCCATAATAGGAGCATAAATTTTAATATTCTAAAGATTTGGAGTCAATAGTTTCAGGAGAGATATTAATATTTACGTCACCGATTATAGATACGGTTTTAAAAGTACATAAATTTTCAAGGATCCTATCAAGTGAATGGAGGAAAACCTCAATGTTTCTGACAGATGGAGATCTCTAAATGGCTAGAAATGCAAAATCATTTCCTAATTTTATAATAAGACAGTTACAATCTTGACATTGTGGTTCTTCAATAGTGATTTGGTGATTATATTTACTATAAATTACTATTCCATCATTTTGATTTGTATAGTTTTTTGTCACAAAATGGTTATAACCGTCCAAGTAAGGTATTACCGGATTACAGGATAACCAACATTCTGTCAGTATAATAATGTCACAAGAAATATCAAGTCTTTTTAGAGTTACCAAAAAACTATCATAATTCCTTGAAATACTACGGATATTTTGAGTAAGTACAGTCATATAGTGTGAAGGCTGATATAATAAACTCTTACAATCCTCAACTTTACAAGACATTGATTCAGATACAAATATATTATCTATTTCACTAAGTATGTTATATTAAAATTAAAATTAGCATGTGTTTTTTTTAAATTTCAATAGCCCCGCCAATCATCATTGGTAGGAATCGGTGTTCTATTACAAGGATTTGTATATCAGATCCGATATAATGGTTGGGACGTTACTAAACATGTTGACATACTTTTGACTTCCCGGAGCGACAGTGTTTCACATCAACTGCCTATATGTTCTTTTACGCGAGTTTTTATGGAACTTTCATACAAAAATTGCGTAAAAAAACCTAACGTAAAAAAGTTAAAATTAGACGTGATAAAATCCGTAACATTAGTTTTATTCCATGTGTAGTATACTGTATACTAAATTTTGAAGTCAACTCGAACGTAAAAAAATATTTACATCTATTTTATGGTGCCAATCAAAATATTAAATAGGACCAATGATAGATATATGAATAAAATATCTCAAATAAACATTATGCCGTAAATTGATAGAGGACCGTGAAACTCATCATTATTTTGTAAAAACTAAATTAATTTTAATTATGAATGAATGTAAAGAGTAAAATGTAAATAATAGATAATAATAAATTTTGATTACGATACAATTTACCTTTCTTATGGATACATCGGAAGATATGCCCGATATAAAAAATAGTACGTGTTTCTAGACATATATATTCACGTGTTCCTGTGGCATATTATACCTATCTATGCCAAATACCTAATCTACGTCTAATAGTCTTTTAGAATTTAAAAAAAAAATCTTTGACGGACATAGAGACACAGACACTGAGGTGACTCTAAAAGTGATCGAATTTCGGTAAATTTGCCACGCGAGCGAAGCCGCGGGTAAAAAGCTAGTAAACAATATAATTAAACAAGCAGGCAGGCACGAAGGCTGAGATATTATTTTGCATTACATAATTATGCGCAAATGCTATCACCGTTTCATTGTTTTATTCTTTTATAGAGGTTGCTTGTAATAGTTAGGCACTCGTCTTAGCGTGTCGTCTCAAAAATTAGCAGTTTATCAACTTGCAATTTCTAACTTTATATTCTTTGAATTATTTTCAGATACAGTTTAGATTTTCGACATGCCAATTGTTAATATCAAACAAGGTGATTTAAAAGGTGTGCAGTGTAAAACTGATGAGGTGGAATATTTTACGTTCAAAGGTATACCGTACGCAAAACCACCGATTGGACGATTAAGATTCAAGGTGAGTATGAATGAGCAAGTGAAGTTAGCTGCATGTGTTTACATTATCATGTATTATCTCTAGTCGCTAAATATCTTTAACATGTCACATGTTTATCAAAACAGATAGGTATTTTTACATTACAAACGACAAAAGGATTAAGTAGTGTATTCCCATTGATCATTTTGAGAAAATATAAAATTTTTACTTCTCAAATTAACATATTTTGCAATTGAACATCATATAATATAAAAAAGACAATAATCTTTACTTGTAAAATCCTTATCATTACTCCGATATCAAAAGAATCAAATGAGTATAACAAGTACCCTAAACAACAGACGCTGAAATAAACGTTTAAATTAGAAAAAAGCAACTTAGACTGCAAACTCCTTATAATGCGTAGTGTCCTGATGATTATGCGCAATATTCTGAGGATCTAGCAGCACTATTCAGTGAGGATATTACGATTAGTATGATATGATTGATGATACTAACCTCTTAGCTCTTAGTAATCTCTAACTCCTAGTAATACGGCTTAAAGGACTGCTAAATGCTCATATTTCATTATTAAATTTTGAGACCGGTTTATTAGCATTTTTCATAGGTGTTTTCTCGATGTGTGAGACAGTGTGGCATCGATAATTATAAAATTAGATACGCGCTATTTTCTGCTTACTATGTCAATTTGAATTGTATGTACTACGATATAGGTACGAGTACATATACCAAGTTTCATTCTCACAGAGTTATGATCTATCATATAATCTTTATCAGAATAAGTATACCTATCTATGTTTTATCTAGTTCTTAATGTTTTAAAAAATAAAATAACTAATTACCAAGAGTATTGTTGTTTATTAATATAGGCACCTCCAAACAACTTCGAAGAAAGAAGGTTACTGATGAGTTGTCATCCTAGAAAGTGATGGCAAAACCTTTTTGAGAAGTTGGTCAAAATTTGTTTATTATTTTTGATGTAAAACAGCTATTGCGCGAATACTATACACTTCGTTGCTTCTCTGTGTGAGTTGCATACTGTGCCGTTCCATCCTCTATTCCACTATAGTTATAGTATACTTGACGCGACACTTGTATACACACTAATGTATTTCTTTATAATATTTTATTAAATATAAATTCTACCATCAACTATGATCTTTCACATCAAGACAACCAACTAATTTTTAGTGGCGTCACTTGGAAAAGGGATGGTTAAAGTAAATGGTTAGAATAAAACTTTTTTTATTCTAACTTTGGAAAATCTTATAAAATGTTTCCTTTCGTTTTACAACTATGAAATACTTATAAATCCAAAAGTTTTTAGTTTCTACTATATCTATTATCTTATATTATATAGGTTATACATCGAAATGTTTATATTTTATTATTATTTTCACTAAAATTCTATGTAGCTAATGTTTTTAATTTGTTCATCATAGCGTTGTAAAGCTACAGATTATACTAAATTTTATACAGGCTCCAGAACCGCCGGAGTCATGGCGTGGCTTGCGAGATGCATCACAGCATGGACCTGTATGTCCACAGTATAACGAACGTATGGAACGCTTCGAAGCTGGAAGTGAGGATTGCCTGTACATTAACGTATACACCAAATCTCTAACACCTACTTGCCCGCTCCCTGTACTCGTCTGGATCCATGGTGGAGGATTTTATACGGGCTCTGGTGACTCAGATTTCTACGGTCCCGAGTTTTTCATGGCCAATGACGTCGTCCTCGTCACATTTAACTACAGACTAGAAGTATTAGGCTTTCTATGTCTTGACAACGAAGATGTTCCTGGTAACGCTGGTATGAAGGATCAGGTAGCTGCTTTAAAATGGGTTAAAAATAACATATCCGCTTTTGGTGGCGATTCCAATAACATCACAATATTCGGATGTAGCGCTGGGGCGGCATCCGTATCGTATCATTTGATATCAAAAATGAGCGCAGGTTTGTTCAATAAAGCGATCTGCCAAAGCGGGGTATGTCTAAATGAATGGAGTTATAATATATATGCGAAAAAGCGTGCATTTCAATTAGGAAAATTATTAGGGAAGGAAACCGATGACACGACAGAATTATTGGAATTTCTAAGAAACGTTCCGGTTTCATCATTAGTTAATATTCAGTTACCGGAAATAGAAGTAGAACATAGGGATATAGCTGATAGTATCCTCTTTGGGCCTGTTATTGAAAAACCTTATTTGAACGTAGAAAAGTTCATAACAGAAGCACCGCCCGATACGCTAAAAAAAGGAAATATTGCAAACGTGCCTGTAATAGTAGGATATACGTCAAGTGAAGGTATAGAAACAGCCCGGAATTTTAGTAAATTAGTAGGTTTTCTTGCAAAAGTTGGTAGTGTCGTACCAAGAGAAATCAAGTTAAAAGTCAATTCAACAGAACTCAAGGTCATAGATCAAAAAATACGCACAAAATATTTCGATAGCAAAACGATTACTAGCGAAATAATGCAAGATGTCGTCGACTTGCAGACCTACAGTCTGTTCGCGTATAATATTTACAGATTCGCTTCATACTGCACGGAAAATAATTCAAGTCCTGCATATTTATACAAGTTTACAGCGGAAACCGAGAGAAATTATACAAAGAAACATTACAAAATGGACAGTTTGAAAGGAGTATGTCACGCTGATGACCTTCCATATCTCTTTAACGTTACCTGTCTAAACATTCCGTTAACTGAAGATTCTAAGTCGATTATAAAGAAGATAGTGAGTTTATGGACAACTTTTGCTCGAACGGGGTTAGTATTCGATAGTTATTAATATACGCTTGGTCTACAAATCCTAAAGACCAATAGTAGCAGCATACTGTTAACATTTTCATTCATTCATTACAGCTTATTAAAAGTCCACTGCAGGCTTACCCCGTAAATAGGGGGATTTATGCCATAGTTTGGGGAAGAGAAATTCATAGTAAGATTTTTTATGAATTATTGCAAACTGAGTACGACTTCGGTGCTAGCCGCTACTTGCAGGAAGGACTCGACCTTTAGGTACAATTGCAGCTCTTTTTATCGTCTTTAAAGCCCTTCACACATAATATAATTATCATACGTAATAATTCTATGCCTTCACAAGTTCACTGCTGAACATAGGTCTCTCCCAAGAATCGCCATAAAGCATCCTGAGCCTCCTACACTATACATATTAATTAGTGCAAAATTTGTCAAAGGTCAAAAAAATATAAATATTTTACAACTTTTCAGGAACCCTACGGAATCATTAAATGTGCCAATTTGGGAGACCTACACAAATAAGGAAAAGAACTGTTACGTTATCGGAAAAACATTCCAAAACTCTAAAAATCCAGACGCTGAACATATCAATTTCTGGGAAGAAATATACATGAATATACTCTGAAGTAGTTTGGAAACCAAATGCCTAATGTAACTAGTTTGTGAAAGGAATATTATTTTTAACTAACTTCAAAAAATGTGGCAGTTTGACTAAATGTTCTTTTTCTGTGTATAATATGTTTCGCGTTATCTTCGGCAACTCTAAACCGATTATAATGTTTTTTTTTAAATTAAATACACTTCAGGCTTCAGGAACGGTCCCTTCAAATTTGGAGAAAATATACTACTTTTAAAGTGAAAAAATAGAAAATGAAGTTTTTAATGTCCTTATTTAGACGATATTCTTCTAGTCTTGAGCTTGTGATATTGATATTGTCCACTCCAAAGGGTAAAAAATTTTACTTGTAATCTATAAATCTTTTATTTATATAAAATAGGATGTTCTGAGTGACTGACTCATTTTTATCAACACACAGCCCAAACCGTTAAACGTAGAAATCTGTAATTTGGCCATTAGCTGCCCTTTATGACGTAGGCATCCACTAAGAAGAGATCTAAAAAAAGTCAATCCCCTAAGAGTGTGAAATAGGGTTATGCCGGTTATATGCCACTTTATATTTTACAGGGCGATTGACTCGACTAACTCAGGCTTAATTTATTATAAGAAATTCTATTGCTCATATTTTAGTAATGGTAACTTACGCAACTTATGCACTATGAAAACGATTTTGCAATCTATACAAATAAATAAAATTGAAATGTCTGTTTGTAATGTCAAAATTAGATCTTTGTACTAAACGCATATGAAAGTATATACGGTTTTTAAAGTTTTGGCTGTCTGTCTGTCTGTCCGTCTGTCTGTCTGTCCGTCTGTCTGTCTGTTTGTTCCGGCTAATCTCCGAAACGGCTAGACCGATTTTGACTGGCAGATAGCTGATGTCACAAGGAGTAACTTAGGCTACTTTTATTTTAGAAAAAGAATTAGGGTTCCGTGCAAAAAAATTAAAACCGCGGGCGAAGTCGCGGGGAACAGCTAGTCGTTAATATATGCAGTAATATATAGTTTGACCTCTAAGCAACCTCTATGTATGAATGTAATGAAATTTTAATAATCTGAAATTTGAAGACGTATTATGAACAGTAGATGACCTTCACGGGCTAACGTAGAAAAGAAAACATTAATATAAACTAGTTGTCTAGTTTCTATTGGTTGAAATTCGAACGTAATGCATTAAATTCTTAGATTTGCATACTAAGCAATCTGTGTTGAAGTTTCAAGCTGTCAACTGCACATTAATTTTAAAAAAAACACAGAAATGTAATCATTGACTTATACCTAGTCAGGTCATAAATTCTGTCACGTGTTTAATATAAAATAATTGAAACAAGTTTATTCATTATGTAACCAAATGCAAAATTTATATACCGAAATGAACTTAACAAAACATAGATTCTTATGACACTAAAGTTTATTCAAAATGACCTCCGTGATTTTGAATACAGGCCTTCAATCTGCGCGGCCAGTCGTCTATCGCAGCACGAACGAGGTCCATGTCAATATCGGCGGCTGCCTTAATCAAGGATGTCTTGAGTGACTCCAAATTGGGATGAGGCTTTGAGCACGCCTTTTCCTCCAAGTGTTGCCATATCTTGTAATCTAATGGATTCAAATCTAGACTGGAGGAGGGCCAGTCTTCGTGCCGGATGAAGTCGATTTCATGCGCCGCCAGCCAGTCTTGTGTGCTTTTCGCTCTATGAGCTGGCGCCGAATCTTGTTGGAATACCCAGTGCCTGTTATTGAACATGGTATGAGAAACAGGTTCCACAAGGTTCGTCAGGACTGTATTTTGATACACAACTGCATTCGTTTTTACACCTTTCTCACAAAAATGTTAAGCCCCAATAAGAAACTCCCAACCATACCATGAGCGAGGATGGAAAATGACCTCGTTGGACACGCGGAATACGGTTGCTCGCTTCTTCACTACTGTGTGCGTACACCTAATCATTTTATTTGTTGTAGCTCTCTTCTACGGTAAAAATTTTTTCATCCGAAAAAAGAATTTCCCGCTTCAACAAAGCGCGGCATCTCTTCAGTCTCAGCTCCATTAGACGAGCATTCAAACGATGTCCTGTTTTTCTTCGATATGCCCGAAGCCCTAAGTCTTCATTTAACACCCTTTTCACCGTGGTTCTGCCTAACCCCATCTGAAGGACCAACAGTTTCTGCTTACGTTTGGGATTTCTTTGAATTCGCGCCTTCACAGCTTTTATCACTGCTGGAGTCCTAACAGACCGAGGGCGACCACTTCTTGACCTGTCATCTACACTAGAGTCTTCATTGTATCGTTTTATGGTACGATAAACGAATCTTTTGGATATATTCAAATTTTTCAGTATGTCAAAAATTTGAATTGGCGCGTAACCACAACGATGCAACGCAATAACTGCAACACGGTCTTCTTTAAGCGTCCACTCCATATTTAAAAATGAGTAAAATTCTAAAAAGTATACAGTTTTATTTTCATGAACAATTCGAAATTCGAATTCAATAAACTTTTTTGTGGCCAGAATTCCAAAAGAAAAGTTTTTACTGTGTGACAATACTTATGACCTGACTAGGTATATTACTAACGTACATTGTGTGTAATATACAAAATATAAAATAAACGCTTTCTTGTATTAACATACATAAAATTTTCATAAAATTCAGTCAATTTATAGTTACGTAACTATTTGTTTGTGCTGTTGACTGATTGACCAGACCCCGTGAGTGTCGTAAGATGCGACAAAGGGAAACAAGTCTTCTTAACCCTTAAGTGCATAGCTATAGTGCATAGTTTATCAAAAATGATTACAGACTTTTTCATACGTACGTATTAGGTACTTCCAAACAAAATATATTTAACCCATTAGAGACTTAGTTTTTTAATCGTCTTGGATTTGCGTGATTTTTATTATATAGGACCTACAACACATAATCGGTAAAAAAATTAGGTCTCATTCCTGAAACTGAAAATAATCAATAATGCCATATGGTATCGCTAGCCCCATTTGGTTTTTTTTCATTTTAAAATTATTATTATTATAATTAATTTATTTATTTTGCATAATGTGTGTGTTTTACAGTTGTTATAAAAAATATAGTACAACACATTAACCATTTCTGGTCTACAAAATTATTGAATTTTATAAATATTAAGTATTATGAAGTAGGTACATTATAAATTAAAATTACAAAACAAATACATACATTGCATAATAAATAACCAAAAAAAAATTGAAAGTGACCTAATGAACAAAAACTTTTACTACTATTGGCACTATCACATCATTAATATTTATAATTTCATATCACATTATAATATATAATTACCGAAATATTATTATTTAAAAAAATTAAGATAATTATTGTTTTTCCAACAGCTCGCTAACCGAATAAAAACATTTAGGTATTAAATAGCCACTTTTTCAACTCGTTCCCGACACGCTTTGTAATTTTATATTACTATTATTAGGTATTGCGTTAAACACTTTTATGCACATTGCATAGCAGTTTCTATGATAATTAACTGTTTGTGGTATTTTATCAATGACTAATTTATCTGGATTCCTTAAAGGTTTGGACATGATAATATCTCCAGCAGTTATAAACAGCTCAGAATTATTTTTTTACAAATTTGGAGGAATTGTTAACACTTTTAAATTTATAAATATTGGTTTGCACGATTCATATATTGCACGTAGATACTTTTTTTCCCACAATGAAAACTTTATTGATGTCTACAAAATTTCCCCATATTTTTATACCGTAGCTAAGTGTACAATAAACGTATCCGTAATACGCCATAAGAGTCTTTGTAAGGTTCCGTAATATGTAAACAAAGCGGTTAAGTTTATTACATACTTTTTCTATGTGAGTTTTCCAGTTACAAAATATATCCATATGTATACCGAGAAAGGAAATTTCTTGTACTTATTTTATTTGTTCGCCGTTGTATACAATATTTAACTTTATATCATTATTTTTTTATTAAAAATTTGTATTAACTTGGTTTTGCCTATACTTATGTGTAAATTATTATGTTCTAACCATTCAATTATTAATTTCAAAGAATTATTAATGTCATTTACAAATTCACCAATGTCAGATTTTTTGTTACATGTCATTAGCATAGCAATATCATCTACAAATGAAGTCAATAAATTAGTCGTTACATAAGAGATGTCATTAATATAAAATAAAAACAAAAGTGGACCAAGTATACTGCCCGGTGGCACGCCATATCCATTAATTAGGTACGGTGATTTATACTGCTCATGTTCCTTATTATAATTTAACATTGAAATTTCAACACATTGTTTTCGATCTGTCACTGTTGTATATATTAAAGCTTCATGAATCGCCGTGGCCACGCCAGTAAAATTGGAAAAAATAGAAGGGCATTTAAAATTGAGAATTATTTTGTATCTGGGAATCCAAACTGCTGCTCCAGTACAACTTTCATGTGACTTTTTGGAGGCATCAGTGTATATAATAAGCCAGCCTTTCCATAAATTATATATGACTCTACTTAATTAACTATTTACTATAGGGCAATCTTTCTCAATACCAAGGTCGAGGTGGATATTTGGTTGGAAAATAATTGCATCATATGGGATATCAAATATGGGACAGGACTTGCATTGTTGGGTGTGTTAATGATAAGGTGGGAAGAGAGTTAGTAGATTTTAAAAAGAATCGGTCCGAAAGATATTATATAGATAGTCTTCTTGGGTAAAGAGGGGGGACCCCCCTCTTTACCTAAGAAGACATTCAACTTGGAGAGCATTTATTGGGGAAGATTTCATTGCCCCGATGATTATACGAAGGCTTTTGGACTGAATCCTGTCTAGGATCTTTAGGGAAGACTTATTACATGGTTCCAAGACAAAACATCCATAATCCAAATGACTACAAATATGGGCGTAGTACAAAATTTTTTGGGAGTATGGGTGGGAGCTCCACCAGACACCTGATAAAGATAAAGCGCGAAAAATGTTTATATTCTTTTCACATTTTTT